GCCACAGCCCCCGCTGGCCATTTGCCCCCACTGGCCACAGCCCTCCGCCGGCCACAGCCCCCACTGGCCACAGCCCTCTGCTGGCCACAGCCCCCACTGGCCACAGCCCTCTGCTGGCCACAGCCCCCACTGGCCACAGCCCTCTGCTGGCCACAGCCCCCACTGGCCACAGCCCCCACTGGCCACAGCCCCCACTGGCCACAGCCCCCGCCGGCCACTTCACTGCTGTCTGGGATGTGGTAGTGGTACCCAGCGCCCTGTCCTGCTCTACCTATTTGCTGATTTTTAGCTGGACAGCAGCTGTTGCTGGGGTGACTCCCTTTTCTGGGCACCCAGAGCCCCTTTGGCAGTGACCCCGACGCGGTGGCCCCAGGGAATGCGTCTGCGCCACCCACGGGCCCCTCTAGGCTCCCCGTAGCCGCACCAGCGGGGAGGCACTGTGAGCTGGTCACTGGCGGGTGCGGCAGGCCTGGGGACAGTGGCGGGAGCAGCAAGAGCCCCCCGGCCTGGGAACGCCGGACCTAGGGGGGCTTGGACTGCCGCGGGGGGCCCTCTGTGCTGTGAATCCCCCCGGGGGCCTGTGGCTGGGAGTCAGGTCCCGGGATCCTGCACCTGCTGACGGTGACCAGTGGGGAGTCCGGGAGCCCCCCGAGACGGGGGGGAGGGGCAGCAGAGGCGCCCCAAACCAGGGCGCCGCGGAGATGCCTGAGACCGGGGGGCGGCGGAGGCACCCGAGACCGGGGTGGGGGGGTGATGGAGGCGCCCAAAACCAGGGTGCCACGGAGACACCTGAGATGGGGGGGCTTCCGCCCTTCCCGCTCCCCCAGGGGCGCTTTGGTGAAAGCGGCCACCACACCCCAAGTGGCCGCGGTGTGCGCTCTCGGGGGCCCCTGGTGGCCGCGGCGGGAACTGCAGGGAGCTGGGCTGGTCGTCCGCGGACGGTCACCAGGGCCCCAGCAGCTCAGGCCGGGCGGGGCCGCAGGAGCCCGTGGCCCCGTCAGGGCCGCGCTGACCGGGGCCTCCGCGCCGG